AAGTTAATACCGTGATTGTTAAGTGAATCTGGCTTCCTCGTTGAGTGTGCTTGTCAGAAGGTTGCAAGAGGTAATACATGACCCCAGGACACTGAAGCCATAAATACATGCTAGTTGCCAAGTGTCTGAATTTTGATCATGTGATCACAGGGATACTGCAACAGTTGTAAGTGTGAAAACCAACCACAAGTCACCGCAGGGGTGAAATGCTCCCGGTTCGGATCGGATCACCCGATCCGGTAGGGATGGCGGCGGGTGGTTCGGAGAATCGGTAGCAAAAATCCCTGCCCCCCCCACCATGCCCAGCTGAGCCGCACAATCATCAGAGCCTTTTTTTTTTAACTTTTAAAAGCATTTTTTCTACAATCTCTTCCGATGAAAAAATGCTTTTAAAAGTAAAAAAAAAAAAAGCCTCTGATGATCGCACGGCTCAGCTGGTATCCTTAGAGGCTTTTCAAAGCATTTTTTTTCTGCAACCTCTTGGCTGAAGAAGTGGTTTAAAAAAGTGCCCCATTTTCTGCCCATTCCGGGTGGCGGGAATCAGAATGGGTGGAAAATGTGGTGCACGGAGGCCAAAAACGGGGCACGCAGAGACTAAAAATGGGATGTGGAGGCCGAAAATGGGGTGAGGCAGAAATAGGCAATGGCAACCCCTGCAGCCTGAAACAGCTGATGGTCGGGAAGCCAATCCAATTTACCATCAGCTGCTTGTGCTAATCAGGCTGTGCTGAAGCTGAAACTGAAATGGGCTGTTTGCTGTTTGCTGCAAGGAGGCAAATTGCTGGGAGGCAGAGGCCAAAGGGTGGGGGCCGGTGGGTGGGCAGGGCTACATTCGGTGTATAAGATACACCCAAATTTTCACCCTCTTTTAGGGGGAGAAGTGTATCTTATACTCTGAAAAATATGGTAACCAATGGAATGGCATGGTTCCAGGAATTGTGGTGCTCCATCACTGGATGTTTTTAAGAAGAGATTAGACAGCCAATCATTAGATCATCTAATGATCTCCAAGGTGCATTTCCAACTCTTATTTTGTATTCTGTAATCTATGCCACAGTTTGGAAGTATGATTTGGCTTGGTTGGTTTATTTCAGGAAAATTTATGTGAAAAACAGTATTTGATACAGAAATGTTTTATGGTTTGGGAGAGAAATGGACATTGTCCCAAGTATTTGTCCATAAATATTGATATGAATGATTAACTCAATGTAAGGTCTGGATGAATTCAAAAGAAGTACTGAAATTGGTAGCTCATATCATTCTCTCTTACATATGATTCAATCATTTCTCTTAAAAACTTATAAATTTTGAGGCATAGAAGTGTTAGGTATTGTGTGAATGTTGTGTCATCTTAAATGAACCATGCTCTTGTAATAATAATGTTACTGTGTAAAAGTTTATAAAGAGAATTCTCTTTAAATATAAAGAAATACACTGTGTCGAAGAATGATTTTGAATTGAATGCTGTGGGTTAAAGGAACTTATGTCATCAGGGTAGTTAATGCAGGGGTGAAATGCTCCCAGTTCTGACCGGATCACCCAATCCGGTAGCGATGGCAGCAGATGGTTCGGAGAACCTGTAGCAAAAATCCCTGTGCCCTCCCCGCCACCATGCCCAGCTGAGCCGCACGATCATCAGAGGCTTTTTTTTTTAACTTTTAAAAGCATTTTTTCTACAACTTCTTCCGATGAAAAAATGCTTTTAAAAGTAAAAAAAAAAAAGCCTCTGATGATCGCACGGCTCAGCTGGTATCCTTAGAGGCTTTTCAAAGCATTTTTTTTCTGCAACCTCTTGGCTGAAGAGGTGGTTTAAAAAATGCTTTGAAAAGTCTCTGACGATCCAGCTGAGTTGCCTGATCTGCAGAGAGGTATTTTTAAAAAAGCCTCTCTGACGATCCCAGCTGAGTTGCTTGATTGTCAGAGGCTTTTCAAAGCATTAGAAAAAATGCTTTGAAAAGTTAAAAAAAAAAAGTTGGCCACTCCCACCCAATCACATTACCCCCCCACCAAGCCACGCCCACAGAACCGGTAGTAACAAATTTTACATTTCACCCCTGAGTTAATGGTATACTTCAACAACAGCTATGTCTGTTATTCATCTAATGTAGGGCTGTCAAACTCGTGGCCCACGGGCCAGATGCTTCACACACTGGCCACGCCCATGCCCAGTTTAGCAAAGGGGGAAAAAGTCATAATACATCATGTGACGACCCCATGACAACACGAGTTTGACACCCCTAATCTAATGACTTAATGAAACAGAGATCTACAAGGAAATGTTGGATTATAGGGCAACTGTTCACATGTCAACTTGTAAAGTTTTATATAAGTTTAATATATGGGGGAATATCTACTCCAATAGTCAGCAGATTAAGGAGATGATTGACTTATAGAAAGTTGGAAAAGCTTACAAGGAAAATGTGTTTTTCATGACTATCTCATGAAGATTCAGAAGTCTCATTAGCATTAATCTCATATTTTATGCTTCTAATACCTGCATCCAATAAAACCACGTAGGCTTAAGAAATGCTGTTAAGGGGAATGATTTTACTTTGGAAGCTGCATCCACATCTAAAACCAGACAGTCCATAGCAGAGTTTCCAAATGGAAATTAATTGAAATTTAACCACCTATTTGGAAAATTAGTTACATTCACTATCATCTCTATCAAACTCTCTACATAAAGCAACTGGATGTGAGAGTGAGAATTATTTTTCCCAAGATTAACAAAAGCCAATTTCTTGATAAGGATAAGAATGAGTTCTTTGGGTCAAGTCACATGTGGAATTGTTTATTCAGTTATCCTATGATGTTATCAGAGATTGCCAAAAGCAAAACTTTTTCTGTTGAGCTCTTTTCACAAAACAAAACATTTTAGAAAAAAACCATAACATTTTCCCTCTTTCTCTCCAGGAATCATTGATAGTAGCAAATATTTTGTGTGTGTGTGTGTGTGTGTGTGTGTGTGTGTGTATGCATATACATACTGTACGTAGGTATTTAAAACATTTATATTCTGGGCAGCTTATCGTGCACCTGTTATCGGGAAGGGCCTCATCCACCATAGCATTCTCCAGATAACATGGAATTATGATTCTCAGAAATGTTTGCCAGCATCTTGGATGTCCTGATTTAGCATTAATGACACAGCAACGAGGATGAAAGCTGTAGTTCCTTTATTTTGCCAACCAAATTATTATCAATCACAGTTTGGGCTTCCCCAAAATAGATATTTGTGTGATAAGCTCTAGAAATCATCATGGTAGCAACTGATGGAAAGGGAAGTTTTCAATCCCCTCATCATCTCCAGCTGCCCTATGAATAAATCCAATCTAATAATGTTTAACATTTGGGCCAAACATTTCCTTTGATATGGGTGGTTGTCTCCCTCCCAGCCCCAAAATCTTTCTCTCACCAGAATTATAAATCTAAAGATACTCCAGCTTTGTTGGGACAGTATCTATTATAGCTATTTTTTTAAAAAAATTGATTTATATGCCGCCCTTCTCTAGAGACTCAGGGCAGCTTACAATGCGTTAAGCAATAGCCTTCATACGTTTGTATATTTATACAAAGTCAGCTTATTGCCCCCACAAACTGGGTCCTCATTTAACCTACCTTAGAAAGGATGGAAGGCTGAGTCAACCTTGAGCCCGATGAGATTTGAACTTACAGTAATTACAGACAGCTGGTGTTAATTACAATGCTTTTAGTCTGCTGAGCTACCAGGCCCGTTGCTTTATTTTGCTTTAGAATTTAATTAATAATGTATATATTACTGAATTTTGCCTGTAATGTCCTAAGGAATTTAGAAGCCGCTTTTCTGTTGTCAAAAGAGCAAGAGATTTGATCAAAGCAAACCTCCAATTTCTCGGGATGGCTGATGTTCTACAGATCTCTGCTAAGTTTTATCCCTGTATTGAAACTGCTTCTATTCTTTTTATTTATGACAAACTTTCTCAGTGCGTACTGAAGTGGTCCTGCAAAGCCACATTATATTGCCAGTTCACTGATCTACATGCAAAAAATTGGTGGGAAAACTGTTCACTATGGAGAAACAAAGTCTTGGTGTCATGCTATACATTTAGACAGTAGCCTGATCTGCAGCTCACCTTATTTTTGAAAAACAATATTCTGTTCATGGCAAAAGATGGCATGAATTGGCCAAATATAAGATCCATCATGCTCTAGAGATCTGCCAGTCAGACCATAACACTGAGACCAAGAAATATTGCCCACAAGCACCAAAGCTTGTAAGTACCAAAGTACCCCACAGAGTCTTACTCTGCATCCCTAAACCAGTGGTGGGTTCCAACTGGTGTTACCACTGGTTCTCTTCGCGCATGCGCTTTGTGTGCAATCACCATGCGCGTGCGAGCAAAGCTCGCGCAAGTGCATTAGGTATCTGCCCAGCTGAGGTGCGGCAATCCACTCTGCCGTGCCTATCAGGTGGGCTAAAAAATGAGAAATAAAGGTAAGTTTTATGCAGGGGCAGCCGGGAGGGCCCAGCTCCCAGTCAAAGAGAACCAGTTCAGTGATGTCACATCATCACACCACTACCACTACCAGCTCGCCCAAACCGGCCCGAACCGGGAGCAACCCACTACTGCCCTAAACTGCAAAAAGGTCATGAGATTCTGAGCAAAAGTTAACAGAATACAGAATAACAAAGTTGGAAGGGACCTTGGTGGTCTTCTACTTACAAATTGCAAGCTTCCAGATGATAATGCTGAAATCTTATGAGATCTTCTTAGGTTTTAACAATGTAATGGTAAAATATGAAATTTCAGTCTTTTTTGTATGCTTACTGGGAGCTGGGAAAGTATGCCAACTTCTTAAATGTGTCTATATACATCTGTTTTTGATGCTAAATTCTTCCTTACAACTGCATACAGGAATCTAGACATTGAACCCCTTCAGAATATTAGCTTCTGATATTATTATACAGTAATGTAAAGTGACAATTGTTCTGAAATGTTTTCTTTTCTCTATTCCCTCAGAAAATACACAGGGCATCCTTGTTATCTATGAAGAAGCTGCCAAGGAATGGGCTCTGTATTTAAAATCAATTTTCAAGCACATTGTATTAGAAGACAATATCTTACTTTACGACTTAGAAGCTGCATTGATTCACCATTCAGAAGTGCCATTTCTTTGCTCTTACGGATGCAAACTGTTGATAATATCAAACGGTCTTTTAAAGGGCCTGAATGTGAAAAAAAGATATTTTCTGAACAAGATTCTTCAGCCACCTGAAAGGGTGTCCGTTTTGCTTTGTGGGGTAGAAGATTCAGACCTTATCTATCAATTGCTGAATATAGACAAATGTAACCAATTGATGACCACGGATCAAGGGCCGGAAGATTATCTCGCTGTTATATCTGATATTATTCAACAAGGTACTATCCTTCCTCCCTTCTTTCCTCTGCCTCGAGCAATGTGAGATCGCAGCTGTCTCTTCCTTTTAACTGCTAGTGGGGGTGTGAGCTGATTGGGTGGGAACTTGGCTGTGTTCTGATTGGGTGGAGGTGTGTTCTGATTGGTTAGGAGCTTGGCTGTGCTCTGATTGGATGGGGGTTTGGCTGTGCTCTGATTGGATGGGTGTGTGTTCTGTTTAGGTGGGGGCTTGGTTGTGCTCAGCTTAGTCTGAGTTGCAGGGGGATTTGAGCTGGTGAGCTGCGTTGTTGTTGTTTGGCTTCGTGTTTGTGGCCTTGTGAGCTCTTCATGGTGGGTGTCAGTCTGCTTCATGTATGGATTGGAGGGGTTTAAAGTGGCTAATGATGCAGCTGCGGTCTGGCTTCTGGTCCTTGGTCGTGGCTCATTATCAGTGTGGAAACCTGAGAAAACATACATATATATATATATATATATATATATAACACACACACACACACACACACACACATATATATATATAATTTTTTAAGGGAAAATATGCAAGCTCGGAGATTGTGTTATTATGTTATTTCTTCAAATAACTTATGTCAGGGTTCCAAGTAATAGACCCATACCAAGCAAAACTCCGAGGCAGATGAATTCCTCAAAGAATAGCTTTATTGGATATATCATATTGTCACGAATCTGGTGAAAACCGACTCTGAATGTTCCTGTGGTTTTCACCTAATCAAAAATAAAAGGTTTTCCATCAACCCCAAACAATCAGTCAAGTGGTCCAATCAAGGCACTGTCTGATAACCTGGTGACATCACTCCTCCTTCCTCTGGCCAGGTGTGAGAATGTCCTTGGTTCCCAAAAGAAAGTATTTTATTTTGACTACACAACCCCAGCTATCTCTAATCCCCCCCTCCCTATCTCTCAGTGTGGCAGCACTGAAGCTCCAAGATGGCTTCAGCGAGGCCAGCTTCAGGGTTGACAACTTAATTATGATGAAAAAAAAATTTGTCACTATGGTGAAATATTAAATGTGTACAACCTGATAGAAATATGGAAGCCTCTACCAGCTATACTGGAGAAGGCTGCAGCGAAGCAGTGGAGAAGAATGAAGCAAAACTAGGTATCTCTTTCATTTCATATTTCAGTAAAACAGCTTTGAGAAAAACACTTAGCTAGAGCTTTTGTTGAAGCAAAGTACACACACACCCCAAAGCTTTGCACAGGGTCATACATATCCATCATGCCAAGAAAGAATGTTATTGAAGCAATCATGATTCAAAAATTTGGTACAACATCATTATATACTGGACTACAATAACAAAGGGAGAGAAATGGCATGTTCCACTGAAAAATCCTGAGCTAATATATGTAATAACTGAACATTATGAATGCATGGATTATTCCCAAACCAGAGGGAGCAGTTCAAGATCCAAGTTGCACACATGGTCCCCTTATTTAATCTTACTTTGTTTTAAAAGCTGCTTTGGATCAGGCTGTTCAAATCGATGGCATTTAAGAAACAGACTATGTATTTAAACTAGCTGCTACCAAGATACATAATATAGTGTGACATTGTTTAAAACATTGACATTTTTGTGGGATCATGGAATGATTCTTTATCCTTTTGCAGCTGCACCATTATGTGTCATTGTGCATAATGCTACCTGAAAAAATAATCAAACCATTTATCTATTTACAGAGATAATCTTACTTTCCACCCATGCACACATAACTCTGGGTTGCTTAAAGAGGGTTAAAAATAAGCAGTATCATTCAGCAAGAATAATAAAAATGGCGCTACTGGAGTAGGGAGGATAATACAAAAATCAGACAAAAACAATATCAATGGTGGGTTCATGAATTAAAGAAACATTTTAACCAGACCCCAAGTTCTGTCCAAACTCTTAACAAAATTATCCTACTTGTGATGAAACAATATGATTTATCAATTTACTCCATCAACTCAGAGGCTTCAGACATGAGTTATTGTACACTGTGATAGATAGATAGATAGATAGATAGATAGATAGATAGATAGATAGATAGATATTATGAACCATTAATTAAAAATTGTAAGAGAAAATCTCTTCGAGCCATTGATTGATTGATTGATTGATTGATTGATTGATTGATTCATTCATTCATTCATTCATTCATTCATTCAATCAATTTTTATCTCTAGTGTCTCTTGAAGATATTGTTCAGCAAGGTTTAAAGTCATTACATTGCTTCTTGACTATTAAAAGCTTGTTGGAAAAACATTATGAATATCAAAGAAACCCTTAAGTCATTAAATAACCATTCATACTACATAGACAAGAAGGCTATGCCAATTGTTCTGGAATAATACTAGATTTCTTTTAATTAAATGCATGCACTAGAATCCATTGCTTTATAAAAAGCCAGAAAAATTCTGCATATACGTCAAGTTTCTAGAATGCATAGATCATATCTTGTCCTGTTTTTGATCCAGCCAGAAGTATTTTACAATTAGTCATAGACTTACAATCTTTAAAGACTTGAGATATGAGCACTGAAGGATGCTCATTGTAGTTGTAGTTGTACCTTGTACCAAGGATCAAACTACAATACACACAAACTTCATAGTTTTGAGTTGTACTTACTATTACAATAGGAATGACCAAAGACCTATTTCACTTGACAAAATAAATCAAGTGCAAAGCTTTGGAAGGGAGTTTTGCTGTTTTGGAAGTTGTTTTATAAAATTTTCCACTACCAAAAGCAAAGAAAAGAGATCATGTTTTTGTGTTTTGTTTCTAAAACCTCTTCTGCAATAGGAATTTGGAATTGGAATAGGCTTTGGTATAATTTTACATATACCCAAAATCCTCTTGTGGTTATTGAAAAGGTCATATTCACACATTACTCTGTGAATGAGTTTTGAAGAGTGCTTTTTTAAAAAAATCTCCATCAAAGCAAAGCATGTCCTTTAAAGCTTTGTCAAGTCCTATAAAGTATATGTCTATTAAAAAAACCAGTTAAGATATTATTGTACATAATAAAAATTTTAAGCACCAAAAGAATGCAGGCAGAGAGGCCTATAAAGTTCTAAGACAGCGTCAAACTGGTTTTAGTATCATGAACTCATAAAATAAGGTAAGTAATTTACATTGAAACCACAAGTGGCGCAATTGGATGAGATTGTATAACATGCCAGACAAAGCTGAAATGGAATTTGATAGTTTGTTGTTGTGAAAACAAGCCATAATCTTACCAGGTTATATGAACCAGGGCATATATTATACCATGTCGTGTGAACACGGGGGATGTCATTTATTAAACCAGATTTAAGATTTAGTTTGTGGCATGAACCCATCAATAAAGTTCAGCAGGTGACATGATGGTCACATATATAGTGCATCTCTGTTCTTGCATTAATGCCAATGGTGGGTTGCTACCGGTTCGCCCCAGACAGGTAGCAGGGGCGGTAGGAGGCTCCGCCCACCCACGCAGATGTCTCTGTGCATGCGCAGAAGCATTGCACACGTGCGAGTACACACACATGTGCGAGCACACATGCGTGCAAGCAAACTGGTAGCAAACAAAATTGAAACCCACTACTGATTAATGCAGCTAATAACATGAACAAAAAAATAACAAAAAAAGAGAATGATATGTATTCTAATTGCATCCTGGAATTAAATCTGAATGAGAACATGAGACTGAATACGACTGGTTCCGTTCCGTAATCATTATGCTTACAAAGCTGAATGGCAGTTCTTGAAAAGAGATGGTTCATGCCCACTTGAATGAAAATAGAAAACTATATGATGAGGAACCCTTGAAGTCAAGTAGAAGCCTTATTAAATCTGGAAATGTTGGGGTTGGAAAGGCATGCTCCTTATCTGAGTTTGAGAGCTAATGTGATATAGTGATAAAAATGTTGGATTTGTATCAGGGAAGCCAGATTCAAAAACTCAGTTGATTATAGAGCTCACTAGGTAATTTTGGGCCAGTAATTGCCTCTCAATCCAACTGGCCTCAGAAGCTGTTGTGCAGATATAATTAGGAGATACATCCAAGTATGCTGCATCAAGATGTCAAGGGCAAAATTGGGCAAGAAACAAAAAAGCTTTCTTTTTAATGGCTCAGTTCACAAAAGATGGGCAAGCCAACTCCAACCCCATCCAACAGATTAATCTTTCAGTTCCCACTGCACCTGAAACAGGAGGATGATTGAGTTGATCACTTGTTGCCCATTTTAGATCTCACGGTCATCTTTCAAGAAGGGGGAAAAAAATCTTCACAATGAATAAAATAAGTAGTTTGCTAATATATATAGCCAAGAAAATAGTATTCTATATCCACTATACATATATAGTAAATTCAGTAACTTAGAAGCAGAGTGGGTTCCTTCCTGGGCAGAACTTTTATAAGGATCTGATTACAGAGCTAGGAATAAAACTATTTTGTATTTCATAGGGGCATAAATATATAGCTTTTTCTTTTTTTGAATAGAATTCATCTGTTTTTCTAAAGATATATTTGCTTAGAGATGTTCCTCATAACTAGGGAGAAATCTCACATGAAGCAAAAGGTTTCTGGGTCATGCAAGATATCTAACACGATCAGTGTGGACTTTGTGGGGCCCTTGACTCCCCTTGACACAAATCAAACAGCAGCAGTCATATCTTCTATATCACCTTGTCAGGGATAAGCTGGGATGGAGAAGACTAGAAACTTCTCAAACTATTCTACTGTCAGAGTTCCAAATGACATCCCCAACAAAAGAAAACTCCAAGGCTTGAGTTTCCTCAAAGTTCCATTTTATTAGAGATGTCATATTGGCACATCTGGGAAAACCCGAATCTGAAAGCTTCCAGGTTGTCCCCACCCAAAGGAAAGTTCAAGTCCCTGCCCAGCACCCACATGTCCATCACATGGTCCAATCCAAGCACCCTCCCAACTGGAGATGCCTCCCACTTCCAGCCATCCAGGTGCAGGGCAAGATGTCCTTGACTTTCTGAGAAAGGAATGTTATATC